AAGAAGAAGAAGAAGAGGAAGAAGAAGAAGAAGTGGCTCTAAGCTATATATGAATAACTGACCCAGATAGTGACAGTAAACGATGCTTGCTAACATTATCCCCTTGCTGTGATTTGCCGTTGAAACTCTTGCAGGTTGATTTCAAACTTGCCCGCCCTGGATTTATGACAAGATTCGAAGGGTACTGGAATGTCCTACCTTTAGAAGACGATTCGGCACCTCCCTCCTCCTCTTCCTCCTGCTGCTCAAATGCCTCTGGTTCTTCACCGAATGGCCCCCGTGCTTCTCTCGTCACTCTGCATCAATACATAATGCCATCAGTGATCCCTCCCCCTCCGCTCGATCGGTATGTTCGAGGAATAACCGTGAAAACCACGCATGACACAATAACAGATCTGCAGGGAGAGGCCTATCGAATCCGAAAGGGATTAGCTATGCTAGCAGAGGAGGAGCTAAAGAAGTTGAAATCAGAGATACTTCTGGTGGGAAGACAGAAAGGAGACGGCAGAAACCCGCAGCAAGGGGGAGGGGGAGGGAAAGGGGACAGAGGAGGTGGAGGTGATGGTGAGGGAAGAAGGCTAAAGAAATTCAGAGCCAGGAATGCTGTGGTTGACGCTGAAGAGCCCTCCCAGCAAGCCGCACGACATGCGCATTCTGACCATGCCACTGGACGAGGCACGCCCAACTCCAAGGCAGCTAGCGTAAGCTCCATTCGAGATCGAGCACGCGCTCTTCGGAAGCAAAGGGGTCGCCGAAAGCTTAACTCGATTTGGCACGATCCCACCGATCTAGAAGAAGACATTCTATATGGCAGGTAGGTTATATGAAAATGGGAAAAATAAAAAATAAATAAAAATAAATCAGAAAACAAACACACACACACAAATCATAAGTCCACCCGGGCTTGCCATGGCACCTTGCCCCTCCCGCACCGGGTCCGCCACCCACCCTTCCTTAGCCTCCACATCCTTCTCTCTAAAATGATGTCAAAACCCCATATACTTAACTGAGTTAACTCTGAACACCCTAGCTATGGTTTAACTCTGTGAACTGGGTCTCCTTTCTACTCTAAAAAGACACCTTAGCTATGGTTAACTTGGTTGGTTATGGTTAACTTGGTTAACTCTGAACTCCTTACTACTCTGAACACTCTAGTTATGGGTTAAATTGGTTAACTCTGAACTCCTTAGTTATGGTTAACTTGGTTAACTCTGAGCTCCTTAACTCTGAACACCTTAGTTATGGGTTAAATTGGTTAACTCTAAACTCCCTAGTTATGGTTAATATGATCATCTGTTAATAGACTGCAGTGTGCACCCTCCTGAAGTAACATAGAAGTTTGATTTCCTATTCTTGGGGGAAGGAGAACTCTTTGTAGCGAGGCAGGCACTCAAAATTATCGATGGCAGTCATTGCGTATAGAAACTTGGAAAGTTAATATAGTTGTCCGTAAACCATAGTTAAGGTTTATGGTTAACTGTGCATGGTCATCCATAAACAGTGTGTGTGGCATATATGCTTGCTTATCCATCAGCATATCTGTTCCGGATGATATATATTATATATGGTTAACCACTTAGTTGACGGTAAGATTGCCGCATTCGACTGTAGCGTAGCGTCCAGTTCACAACAATATAAGTCAATGGCGGGTATCGTTAGGACTACTACTGCTGGTACGGACGGGCCTAGCTCAGTTGCGCACACCAATGAACTGTTGCAATATACGCAGACCCGAGTTCGAATCCAGATGCAACCAAGGACTACTACTGGTGGTCCCCATTCGACAGCATTGTAATTTGCCAAGTCCTTTCTTTTTTTCCGGGGGGGGGGTGTTCGTCGCTCGTGCGCCAATTCTGTCATATGCCCATTCAGCATTATACCGTTGTACTCTCCAAAAAAACTTTCAACTTTAAACTTCGAACTTTTTTTTTTTTTTTTTTTTTTTTTTTTTAATTTTATTTTACAGAACCTCTCGGTTCTGGCTCCTGCCATTCTGGGGAGCAACAGTCCGGTTCCTATTCCCCCGGCAAGTCAAATTTGGCTACAATGAAGACATGTGCACGCTCCTCCCCATTATGGTTGAGAGGCCCGAGTGGACGGCATTGATTACTTCCCTTGGGAAGGATGTACCACCCCTCACCCCTGCCTAAGTTAGCCTATATCCTCTACTTTCCAATCCTCCGACCCACCTAAGTTCTAGCTCCTCTCGGCTGAGTGTTGTCAGCTGAAAATTGAATACTAGGGCTGATGCGTCTTGCTGGTGTCTAACAGTTTGGTAGTGCTGTTTCAACCTAGCCCTACTCTGCTCTTTTTCCTTTAGGGCAGATCTATTCTGATCTATCTCTTTATATTCTTCCCAGGGAGATCTCTCCCCTAGGCTAATTCTTCCATCTGCCTCTGGTTCGTTTCTCTTGCCCTGTGGACCAGGCTCGTTGTCTCGTTCCGGCTGTGGGGTCTGTAGTGCTAAACCCGGAACCTTAGCCTGCTCCCTCTTCCTTATTTTGACCTCTGTAAAAGGATTGCTGATCGTTAGCCTCTGTCTGCTCTAAGATATTCTTATCTATTGCTTGTGTCCGGTCCTGTGTTGTGTTTAAGCCTTAAACCCTCAATCCTCTTGGAAAACTAGAATGTTAGTCTGTAGTGCTAAAGCCTAAACCTTCTTGGAAAACTAGAACGCTAGCGCTTACCGAGTCTGTAGTGCTAAACCCGGAACCTTAGTCTGCTCCCCCTTCTCTAATCTGACCTCTGTAAAAAGGATTGCTGATCAATAGCCTCTATCTGCTCTAAGTTATCCTTATCTAATGCTTGTGTCCGGTCCTGCGCTGTGTTTAAGCCTTAAACCCTAAACCCTCTTCTTCTCTTGCTTTTTGGGTATGTGTCCTCTTTATCCTGGCCGATTGGTGTTGCTGTTATTTCCTTCTGGTCTATCTTCTTTTGGTCCTTTGCCTCGGTTTTCTATTTGTTACTATCCCCGTCCTTTCAAGTATTGTTCCAGCTGTTATTGTTTCTTCACTGGCTCTGCACTTTAGTTCCCCTTGCTTTCCTTTATTCCATGGCTGAGTCCGTTTCTCCTCTGTGCTTTTTCTTCTTGTCAGTCTACGTCCATTGCACCTGTATCACTTGGATTTGTTCTTGTGCTGTCCGGGTCCCACCATTTCGTGAATTGAAGGGTTCTTCCGTTTATCTTTCCCAATAGCCCTTCCTTCAGCCACTGTTGCTCAAATTCTTTCTGTATTTTTGCCCTTTTCTGTTCTTCTGTTTCCTTATCCATTTTTTCAAGTACTCGTTTCCATTCAACTCTAACTCCTGTTTCCACCATTTCTCTCGCCTCTTCCCATGATTCGGTTGGCGTTATCTTCTTTTTGCCTATTGTGTTTCCACATCTGGCTCTCCATATTACCCACAGGGTTATTCTTCGCAATAATTCTATGATCCCCTTATCCTCTTCAGGGATTAATTCGTCTCTGTCTATTGCTGTTAGTAAGAGGAATTGGTCTGTCGGGAATTCGTTGTTAGATAAGTTGGACCACGCCTCTTTGCATTTGATCCAGAGCGCTTTGGCATGTTGACATTCCAGTAGGCAGTGAGTTAGTGTTTCTGCTACCTGTTCCTGGCACRTTTGGCAGTGTGCTGAAGATTCCGTTCTTTCTTCTCTTCTCCTCTTTTTCTCCAACCAGTCGTTAGTGGGAACCGCCATATAAATTATTAGCCATTGAAGGCTTCTTACTTTCTGGGGTCTGATCGTTGCGTAATAGGACCATGGGATTGCTTGCAAGAAAGCTGGGTCTATTTGGAGGTTTTTTTCCCACCTTGCCGCTATGGTCTGTTGTGGATTTTCTATCTTACGTCTTAATCCTATATCCTCTTTTTACTGTGTATTCGTGCATCGGGATCCATTTCTTGGCTCTACCCCTCCCTCTATTCTGATACCAACCCCACTCGTTGGGGTCGACTTCTAATTCCGATATGTCTCTGTTTGGTCTAAATAGCCGGGTGGGGGGTTCTACTCCCCTTCTTTCTTTCCTTAGTCCTTTTTGTTCATTTTGGAGTACCCTGACCTTCCTCAAGTCTTGTAGGGCAAAGTCKAGACTGATTAGGGTGTCCTTTCTGATCTCCCCAATTGTTTTACCTGGGTTCTCTAGCTCATGTACTTCAAATTTGGCTATGCGTCTATCAGTTCCCTCGTGTCTTATGAAACAAAGAGCTACTGAGGGTGTTTCCTGCTCCTTCAACGTTGCCCAGTCTCCTTTCTTCCAAACTATTCTYCTTTTTAGTGTTGACCTCCAAGCTATTGGGATACTGTCTATCAATTCTTCTAAGTTTTTCTGTAGCCCGTGATGTCCTCTTAATTTGGTTCTCAGCTCCCCTTCTGATTTCCACTTGCTGTTTCCTTCATCCCATATGTGTTCTATCTTCCATATGCCTTTCCCGACCCAAGTCCTCCATCTCTTCCCGCTTCCCTTGAGAGACCATGTCCTTCCATTCTGGTCCTTCAGGAGGTCATTCCCAAACAGCGGTTGTCTTAATATTTCCTCTTTTGTCCTTGGGCTTCTTCTTCTTTGTGGGAAGGCTTCCCTCCATGTTGCTATCAGTTTTGCCCAGTGTCCACTTGGGGGATCAGTGTATGGTGGTTGGCTCCTTTGTCTAGATCTGCTTCCTTCCCTTCTGGGTGTCCAGTGCCTGTTCATGATCCATGAGTGGCCTTCGATGCTGTCGTGTACTTTAAATGGTAGCAGGTTTCTTATTTGGTATAGGGCCATTTCTTGCCATGGTAGTTCTGTTTTCAACAACAGCCTTAAGACCCACTTTGTCTGGAGTGCTTTGTATTCCGTTACTGGGTCTATGAGACTGAGACCTCCCTCCTCCGTTGGATTGGTTACGTATTTCCAGGCTACTTTAGATATGAATTGGTTCTTTGATGCATCCCCAGTCCATAGGTAGGCTGCTGCTTTTTTCTTTAAGTCTTTCGTGAAATTAGTGGGTGGGTCCCAGACTGAAGCCGTGTACCAGATCATGGAGAAAATCGATGAGTTGATGACTATTGCCCTGCCCATCAGTGATGTGTAGATCTTTTGCCATCCCGTATATTTGTTCATGACAGCTGCGAGTAGGTTCGATGCTATTGAGTTGCTAGTTCCTGCCAGGGTAACTGTGATTCCTAGGAATTTGAAAGGGGCTTGGTGGTCTATCCATTGCAAACCCTGTGTTGATTCGTTGCTTGGGGGGGGGGGTGTCTCTGATAACCACCATCCTATTGTCTTCTTCCAGTTTATCTTCATTTCATATGCTAGATGAAAGGCTTCCATTGCCCTCGTTAGTGCTAGAAAGGATGAATCCGTCGCCCTTATGAGGACTGTTAGGTCATCTGCGAAAAGCATCACTGTCGGGAGTTGGATCCGCCCCTTCCGCCCATCATCAAGGGTCTGTAGTCTCTCTATTGAGGGGTCCTTCCGCAGGAAAGTGGCTATTGCTTCCATGACAAAGAGGAAAATTGGTGCAGCTAGCGGATCCCCTTGCCTTACTGACCTTGTCATTTTGTACGAATCTGATAGGTGGCCGTTGACTTGGACTCTCCCCCTTGCGTCAGCGTACTACATTACTCTCACCCATTTCCTAAAAAGTGTCCCGACTCCCATTTTTTCCATACACTGTTGAAGGAAGTCCCAGTTGACCTGGTCGTAGGCTTTCTCGAAGTCGAAAAAAAGGATTGCTGCTTGTACTCTCTTATCCCTTATTAGCTTGGTTGTTTCGTTCAGACAGATAAYGTTGTCCAGGATGAATCTTCCGGGGATGAATCCTGTTTGATCTAAATGGAAGCATTTATCAGTTACGTTTTTTATTCTATTGGCTAGGACCTTGGCTATTACTTTGTAGRCTACTGATAATAAGGAAATTGGTCTGTAATTCTTGATATCCTCCCTTTCCCCTTTCTTGTACAGTAGTGTGACTACTCCCGTGCTAATGTCTTCTCCTAATGTCCCTTTCTTATATGCTTCTTGGTAAAATCGTAGGAGGTCCCTCCCAAGTAAGGTCYAGTGTTCCTGCCAGAATTCCTTCGTTAGCCCGTCGATGCCTGGGACCTTGTTTGGCTGCATGGAGTCGAGTGCTCCATGTATCTCTGCTAGAGAGAGGTCTTTGTCCAAGTATGCCGCTGCTTCTGGCTTGATGCTGGTATCAAGGTGCCTCATGAACTTGTCTCTTGCTCTCCTGATGGCTCCATTATTGTCTCCCGTTGCCTGTGATGTGTATAATTTTTTGTAGAAGTTAGTGGCTATTTGTAAGAGATCCGTCTGTTGGTTTYTAAGGTTCCCCSTTTCGTCCCTCAGCTCTAGAATCCTGTTGTTTCTGCAGTTGGATTTGATTCTTTGAAAAAAGAATTTTGACATTGATTCGTTGCTCTCCCAATCCTTTACCCTTGCTCTGATACTCAATCCTCTTCTCTTCCAGTCTGCCCATTGGGTCAGTTCTTCCTTTGCTGAAGAGAGCAGAGTTTCATACATTGGAGAGCCCGGGTTATGGACTAGGTTGTATTCTGCTGTTTCCACGATAGACTCCAGGAGTTCCTGTCTTTCTCTCCTTCTTCTGGCTTCATTCCTTGATTCCTTGYKTAGCTCTTTGCTCATGTGCTGTAGGGCTTTTCCAAAGCTTGGGACAATGTCCTCCCCTTGCATTTGTTGACTGTATTCTTCCCATGTTTGTCTGGCCACCCTTCTAAAGCACTCTAGCTTCAGCAGAGAGTTGTTAACTTTGTAGAATCCACGGCCTGCCGCATTATCCARGCCAAAGTTCAATATGAGCCCTATTTGCTTGTGGTCAAAGCCTTCGTAAAAGGGGGCCCTAAAGACTGTTGAAGCAATTAYGGCGCCTGATACTGATTCTGAAATCAAGAAGTAGTCTATTCTAGAGAAGGATGTTCTCCCCTGTTGTGTCTTTCTAGTGCATGTGAACCTTYTGGCTTCTGGGTATCTTGTCCTGAAAGGGTCTATTAGCTTCTTCTCCGTTATAAARYCTAGCATTGTATGGGCTTCCGATTCATCATACCCCTCCCTGGTGTGGGATATCCTGTCCATGAGTGGGTCCACTGTAGCATTCCAGTCTCCCGCTGCTATGGTATGCCGGTGGTTCGGGCATTCTTGTTTGATGACCTCTATTAATTCCTTTCTTTGGGCGTTAGWGTTTGGAGCATATATGTTTAGTAATGTTATCTCTTCTTGCCTGTAGTTGAAGTCGATCCTAATCCACCTGCCTTCCGCGGGATCCTTGGTTACTTGATTTATTTGTAGATGTTGTAATGCCTTTGATTTTCCATGAAAGATGATTAGCACTCCCGCCGATGCTGGGTTGGGGCTACTAACCCATTCCGCTCTCCATACGTGCCTCAGTCTTCTCTCTATTTCCTTCTGTATAGACTTGTGTTCATCAGAGCTGGTTWGGTGTGWCTCTTGTATGCAGACTATGTCCGGTGGGTTATTGTCAAACCATTGGAGATTAGCCGTTAGACTGAACCATTTCGCTGGAGTCGACAGAAGGGTGGCCAGTCCATGCACGTTCCATGATCTGATATCTAGCTCCGCTCTTTTCTTCGCTCTGTGGTGTTCCTTCTGTCCTCCCTCTTTTTRCTCATCCCTCCCATCCATGGTTCAATGGTTCAGTCCTACCGCCTTGGCTGGTCCGGCCTAATTCAAGGGGAGGGATTGAACATCGTTCGCAAGGTTGCCTCCTCCCCCATCTCCTGCAGGTCCTGAAGCATGTCTCCCAGCTCCCTTTGGCTCAGTTTGTGAATTTTCTGTGCAAGGATGATTGCTAGGCTTGCTGCTGGTAACTCCGGCAATACACTTGTGCCAAGGGCTGTGTATGGCAGTTGTGAAATTTGCCACCATGGTCGCCATTGCAGGTTGTTTTTTAAGGCGGACCCTGGGCTGTATATGGCCACCATCAGTCTTACATCCAGGGTTTCCTCCTTGCTTTCTGCCTCCCTTCCATTCATGGTGGGTACCTTCAGCATTTCCCCTAACAGCCCAACCTTGACTGGTTCCTTTTCTGAGACCGTAGATGTGAGCTTCTCCTCTATGCTTTGGCCCTTTTCCAGTCTGGGGAGAGCGAAGTTGGTTGCTGTTGCGATCTGCCAGTCTTCTRTCTGCACATCAAACATCATGGCCAAGATCGTTCTTGAAGGTAAGAGCATTTTACTTGTTGCTACARTCTTGTTCCAGAATTCCGTCTGCGTGCAGTCGTTTAAGGAGCCGACTGTGACTGTTGATAATCTCATTTCCTCGTTCAGGTCCGACAGCCTTTGGATCTGTGCTTCCAAAACTGTGGATTGCAGCAGCAAGGATTCTCTTTCACTGTTCTGTTCTTCCTGTCCTTGCTGCGCCCCTGGGATGCTCTCTTTCTTCTCTTCTTCTCCCTTCATCTTGGTGCTCCCCCTTTGTTCCTTGGTTCCCCTCGCCTTCTCTCTCTTCAGGTTTCCCTTCTTCCTCTCCTCTTCTCTTTTGTTGTAGGTCTCTGGCAGTTCGGGCATCCTGTATCTGTCCTCCCTCCATTCCCCTTCTTCTCCTTGTCCTTCACTCTCCTCTCCTCCATTTTGCTTCCTTGCCCGGTCCTTCCTAATACGACAGTATTGCTGTGCATAGTATTCTGTCATTTCCTCCTCCTCGTTGAGAGCCTCATATGGGTTTGCTGTGAGTGGGATCTCTAACGTCCTTGTCTTCACTTCTTCCCTCACATAGGCCATATGTAGCTCGAACATACTTGCTCTTTGTGCCCTCATTGTTTGAATATATTCCCTGATCTCTTCAATGGGTCTGTTTTCTGTTTCCTCTTCCTCCTGCCCGTAATAGTAATCCTCTACGGCCTTTCTTCTGATGGGTTCGTCTTTGGTGATTTCCCCTCCCTTCCTCTTGGTCCCGCTTCTTCTGTCTTCAAACATTTCCACATCCTGTCCTTGCGCCCCTTCGCTTTCCACGTTGGTTTCCTTTTGCTGGCCAGTTCTTGCGCTTGTCTTGCGCGTGTACTGTATCACTGTGCCATCCGCTGTACTGTTTGGTGTTGTACCCAACTGCGTTCCTCTCTTCTTTCCTTCTTTTACCACTTCCATCCAGCTTCTTTCTGCCAGCTCGCCTGTCTCATCAAGGTCCATTTGAAGATCTCTTAACCTCCTTTCTTCTTGCACCCTCTCTTTGTTTAAGATTTGGTCTGTTGTAAAAATCTTGGGGGATTTCTTGCCGATCTTCTTGGTCTGCCAACTACTATCCGATGGCGGGTAGATGTCTGGCCTTTGGGTTGGCTCCCCTTCTAATACCCATACCCAGTCCGGGGTTTCTAGATTGTCGTTAAAAACCCATCCGATGTACTTGGTGTCTCTGACAAACCAGTAGCCCGGTTCCTCTTCCACCTCCTCGAGGCTGGTTGGTTTCAGCGTTTTATTTCTTGCTGAGTCAGCGTTCTTTGGGCATCTTGGGTCCGTTCCCATGTGGCCTCTTTGCCTGCATTTAAAGCACAAAGGGTTGCTTTTGGTGGAGACTACGACCTTCACAGTTTGGTCCCTTACTGCAAAGTGCAAGATTTCTGGCATTTGTGGGGGAACTGCGCCTTGAGTGTTTAGGCAAGCCATCATGGTGTCATGCTGTGGTACCAGGAAATCTGGTGTGGGTGTGATCTAGTCCACGATGGGGAATTGGCCATATTCCTCCTGCAATCTCACCTTGCTTGCCCCGTGCAGTCCCTCTCGAATCCCATCGAACTGAATCCAGAAATACTTCTGCATCAGCTGCTGTCGATACCTGGAGGGGGAGTCTTGTGTTGCTTTGGCTGGCGCCCAAGGGTAGACTGTAACCACCGACGAGTTACAGGTGAAAGATTTGTTCTTGAGGAATTCCGCCTGTTTTTCTTCTTTGCAGACTACCATTATTGTGTTCCTTCCCCTACTGTGGAAGGTTACTTTTGGTTCCGTTCCCGGGATCGGCTCTATGCTCTTGAGCTTTTCCCACAACCATTTCAATTTCTCCGCCCTATTGAGATCCTGGCTTTTTTTGGAAAAGGTGAAGAGGACTGCATGCTTAGAGTAGAATTCGTCCAGAGACGGTAACGATTCCCTTGGGTATTCCCAAATTACCACTTCTTCCTTTGTCCCGTTTCCGACGTCGACTGTCTCAGTCCTTTTGGTCATCTTCACTTTTGTCTTCTCTGCAAGCCAATTCTGGGTTTCCATTCCCATTCCCTCTCTTGCCATCTCTTCTTTCCCTTGGTTGTTCTTCTCTCCCTCTTCCTTGGCGGTCCTCGCAACTAACCTTTGATTCTGTTTGTGAGCTGTTTGGGCTTTCCTTCCTGTTGTTTGAATCTCTGCTGTGCAGGGCTCCGAGGTGAAGATTATGGGCGTTGGTATGCTCAGTGTTCCTTCTTGACTCGTAGTTAGTGAACTCTGGTGGGGGAGCTGGGTCCGAGGCTACCCTCAAAGTCCGATCTGGTTTCAACACAGCGGTGATGGGGGGTTCTGAGATGCCCTTCCAGCGCAGATTTCGAATGTGGACTGGAGGGGGTAATACGGGATCTCTCTTCCCCACCTTGAGGCTGACGAGGTTGGTTATGGGGGAGAGTCTCTCTTCCTTCCTTGGGAGCTGGGTGAGGGTAAAGAATGGCCCAGTCCAGCGTGGTTTGGGCGAAAAAAATAGGAGGCAATAACTTAATCAGCCCAAAAATGTTTGAGCATAGCCTAAACGATTGGCAAAAAGGTAATGAATTCCAAATTATAAATGGATGACAGTTTAAAACTTATAGCTTGTTCGTTCCCAAAAGAATTTGAGCGTCGTTTTGTCGGATTTATCGAATTAAAGGCTGATTCCTGGTGTATATGGGTAAAAGCTTCAAAAATAAAAGCTTGATCACACCCAAAAATTTAAATGAAGATTTAATGATTGGAACAAGTTAACAATAAGTTCTAATCATAGATGGGTTAGGACACTCGAAGAGAAGTGTTAGTGCCCTTTCCTTGCTTCTACTATTTACTTTCTTGTTCTATAGGCTTCGTTTCTCGCTGATTATAATCTCGCTGCTCCCATCCGTTTCTCCTTGTGTTCTACCCTGTCCACCTGTCAGTGCTTCGCTCCTGAAGGGCTGGGGGTATGGGGGGGGGGGGGGGGGGGGGGGGGGGGGGGGGGGGGGGTAGTGTGAATGGGGTGTTGGTGATGAAGGAGTGTGGGGGGTCGGCTGGAGGTTGTGCGGGTTGGGTCGCGGGTTGTGGCGTTGAGTGGAAGCGCAGTGTGCAGATTTCGTTCCTTTTGTTTATGTGAGGGAATGGCGAGAATGGGGGGTGGGGCGAGTGGTGGTGGTTTGTGTGTACGTCGTTTGCGGTTGTGGGGAGGGGTGAAGGGGAGTAGGGGGGATGATTAAGTGTGATAATGTATACTAATGGGAGAGTGGGGTGATACGGAGGGCCGCGTTGTGGTGGAGGTATTTGGTCCTAGTGATGTGTGTTTGTCGAGTGGGAGTCCGTCTTTGTTATAGCTAGGTCATGCTTCGTTCGTCCGTTTCGGCGCTGTTGAACGGTGGTTATTCCTATGTCTGTTCCTGTCCCATCGTCTTCGTATTAGTGCTGTTCTCTTATCTGTTCTCTTATCTGCTATTGCGTTATTGAAAGTTCCTATGCCGTGGCTTTTTACTTCCTACTCGCGCTTCCTAAGCCTCTCTTGAGGTGTTGGTACGGATGGCAACCCAAATATTCTCCTTTCACCGTGTTGTCAGTTCCCCTTATCGGTATAGGCGACCAGATCCCGTTGAATGGTGTTTCCCTCGCGTTCTCGTTGTCTCAGTCTTTTGTGGCGCCGATCCACTTTCCCTCCTCGTTTCTGCTCGCCGTTGTTTGAAAGTAGGAGCGATCTTACCTCTGTTTTCGTTCGTGTCCTGTTCGTGTCCTGTTCGTCGCTGCTGTCCTGTTCGTCGCTGCCTTGTTGCACTTTGTCGGTCTACTTGATTGTTTCACTGTTCTCGAGAGTTTCCTCTGCCTCCCCTCTTTTTCGTCCCTCGGTACTTCTCTCCTCCTTCCCTCCCCTCCTCTCTTCCCCTTGTTTCTTTCCGTTGATAGTAGTGCGGCTGCGTTGTCTGTTTCCCCTTTTTGCTCCTTTTTTGTTTGTTACTCTTCCCGGCTTCCTTAGATTCTCCTCTGTAAGCTTTTGTTCTCTCCTTGCCAAGGCTCCGTCCTCTGCTTTCTCTCTCACCCTGTTCCTCACCCTGTTCCTTTCCTCTCTCTCCCCCTTTTGCTCCTGTGCCACGCTCTGGGGCGTGGCGTGGGGTGCCTTCCCTGGATGTGGTCTTCCCTTCGCTGGATCCGAGTACCCTGTCCCCTCCCCCAAATGAGCAAGGGAATTCGTGGGGCGTCGCGGTGGCGAGCGTACTCCAAAAGTTCTTCTTCGCACTCTTCAGTCCGTGGACGTGGCGTGCAGGCGCGCGGTGGGACTCCCACGTAGGCGCGTGGTTCACTGCGGTAATTCCGTGGTAACGACAGCGCGAGTTCGTAGCGCTTACCGAAGCGGTGTTGTCCTTTCCTCTTCTTCTAAACTTCGAACTTTAATTTTCCCAAACAGCTTTTTTTTTTTTTTTTTTTTTTTTGGGAAAAAGCAAGGAAGTCCATTATCATGAAAACATGAGGCCGGGAATTCCTCACAAACAACCCGGAAAAGAAAGATCATCACAGTACTGGGACTTTTACCCAGCTTCGGCACGTGGGCCTTACCCCATGTCAGTGCAGCGAATTGAATTAGAACAAAACAGTTGGAAACACACACAGTCAGGTCCAGGTCCTGATGGTGTTGTGGTCATGCAGGAATCTGGCTGCTGTTACGGTCAGGTTCATGCTTTCCAAGCATGAAAATGGCACTAGTGGGGCCTGCCCCTAAATATCATGTCACCTCGCCAAGCAAGTGTCACAGCAATGCACGTTATTTCAACTTATTTGTTCTGCTCCCATTTTTTATTTTTATTTTCTGAAATAAGCTACATTCTTCTCTCAATTTCACCTTACACTACCTACCTACCACTACTAGGCTCTTGCCGCTCTTATGGGTTATGCAAAAATAAATAAGGTGCTGTTTGTTCTTTCCTTGCGAGGGCTGAATAGCCCCCACTTATCTTGCCTGCTTCTCCTCTTTCCTTTGCCTCAAGGATCTCTTCGCCTGT